TGATATGTATTTTATTCTTATTAACATTTTTTGCATGGATGTCAGTAGTTACTAAAAATGATGGGGCAACCAAATTATACCAACTTTTAAAACGAATAACTCTACAAAATGTTGTTAAGGTTGACCCAAAGCTTGTACATGTATAGAAAAACATTTTGTTTAATTGATCAGTGACTTTAGTTTGAGTTGGGTAAAAAGAATTGAAGATTATAGTCGAACATGTATATCACAAAATCAAAATCTGATGTGTTGCCACATCTACAAACTTAGAACATCAAAAATTACTGTAAAATGTTTAATTTTCACTGGGTTTAAAATTTTGCTGATTTAGCATTTCAGGCATATTCATTGGGTTTTACCATTTAGATAACGTGTTCTATGCTAAATTTTACACACTGGGTTTTAATTTAGCATATTTTCCAGTCAGCGAAATAAGCAAAATTAAAACTCGGTGAATAATTAACCCTTTTACAGTATATAGTTACCAGTTGGTGTGTTTAGCGCACAGGTTTTGTAACATATAAAGTTCCATAACAGGAATATGGACACTTTTGTGAAATGAGGCAGTATGGATTCTCTTGGTAACATTGATGTGTCATGATGAGTACATACTGATATTCTTACCTCCAATATTCATGTTTTCAATATTTCCATCATACTGACTATAATGGAAGAATAGACGCGTGTCACGTTCTGCACACTGGATAAAACCATAGGAATGCTACCAACAAGAACATACAGTTATATATTATAAAAATATACTTGATTCAAACAATAATGATTTTTCTCAGTATCATATAGTTGATTCTATGCATGCAAGCAAATATACTATAGAGCTTTTATATTATATTATATTTTATTATATTTTAGACAATCTAATCTGTAATTTCCCTAATGCAAGATGTAGTTAATTTAAAAGAAAGTATATTCACACAATGAGATTGTTGTCACTTCAATGCCAAATTTGCTAAAATTGCATGCTGACAATTATATATATAATATATAAGTATATTGGCTCTAAATAAATCAAAATCTATCACAGTTCAGGGATTCATTATATTACACACTTTTTTTTTGCTGAAGGGGTATACTTTAGTGAAAACAAAATCCAGCGAATATACCTTTTTCCTATTTTTTTACATTCAACTCATGAAAATTCAGTGAAAATAAACTCCATACAAAACACCCAAAATGTCTTTTCAGCAAAAATTAATTAGAAGCAGCTGATAATGTACAGCAATGTCTTTTCAAGTCTCTGCGAGAAATTACAGTGAAATGAAGAATACACTCTCATGCTCTTCTTGTCAGAGATAAAAGTTCTTCACTTAGCCAGAGTCCTTGAATCAGAATTTGGAGTTAATGCAATTTCCGAATATAACATGCAGTATCCCATTACAATATACAAACTGAAAATTACATAATTTCAGCATGAATAATGAGAATACGCATGTAAGTTGATAAGATTATTCAAATTGTCATTGGAGCTAGGCTAACAACATTTCGTATGCATACTTTTAAAAGAGCACATACCGTAATGTGTCTGTAATGGATGCCAACTCTTGCGCAATAACAAAAATAGCACTAGATCATTTTTACATTATATTTATAGACTCATAGAAGATACTCACCAGAAGTTTTTCTACAAGTCCAGTTTCTCTGGAATTTGAGTGTACACTGTGAAACAAAATAGATTAAAACATGATGTACTTGTAGTGAATATTAAATTTATTGATACAGGAATTCTCAAATTTTTTCACTTGTCTGGACAATTTGTGTCAGGTTGTGAATTTTTGAATTTGAAGTACGTCACAGTGCATAGCACCATGAAGTAGTGTATTGTAAAAACATTTCAAAATTCACAGGAGTAAATTTTGTGTGAATTTGACAAGACAATCACAAAATATTATAAAAGTCTACATTTTGCAAAAATTAAGAAATGGGAATCCCATTTTGCAGGTATTAAACACTCATGAACATATAGTACGAGACACAACACTTACCCATTTGTTGATGGGTAACTTACAGATCTTTGGAAGGGCACCTTACTGCCACGACCACTGGAAGGTGGATAGTCTTTTGAAAAACTCTGCAAAAAAATTAAACACATTAATAACATGGAGATTACTGGTACATCAAATGTTTACACATAATCTGAATAGGATTCAACATTGCTATGTACACAGAAATAACCTACACTCTTCTGTTCTTTGTACTTGAAACCAGGTAAATCTTTTTGTATCTTGTATATGATGGCAGTTAAGTGTAATGAAGCAGTGTAATAGCTCTATATGTATATCTCTGTATTGTGCAATAATAATGCAAGTATTCTATTGGTTCATGCAAGCAGATTGCCAAGTTTTACATACAGTGAACCCTTGCTAAGTCCTGCCTCTATAAGTCGTGGTTTCGGCTTTGAAAAATTCTATCATGTTTTGCTGACAGTTTTGAAGTATGAGACTAAGAGGGGAAGCAGCTTCTATTAGAGCATCTACATGTGAATTTTTGGTTCTCAATTGTTTAAAAAGAATGGGTGTGGCTTCTAATACAGATTTTACGATACATGTACATGTAGCAATGTAAATGCAGACAATTTTAATTTGCCAAATAGATCCACCATTTTATTTCAAAACCACTAAAACATTGTATGCACAAGGTGGGGGGGCCAAGTATTTTAAATGCATAACATGTTAATGTATTTGGCATATAGTACCAAAAATAATATTTCAATTTTTTTTATTCCAGCTGACACATTAGTAGCAGACATTGAATGCATCATTCATAATTCCATGTCAGACACATGGTCATATTTCAGATATCCAAACATATTTTTTTGTAAAAATACATACATCACAAAATACACTATTTGACTGTGATCTTCCCATCACTTGCATATGTATACTGTATTTGCTTCCTATTAGAAGCACAACTTAATTTAACATACATTGTACCTTTAGAATACAACTTATTTTGACCATGGACACAACCTTAATTTACAAACAGTACTGTCGCTGGATGCAGCGAGAACGCCAAATATTACCGATAAATATGACCAATCAAAGACTGGTACCAGAAAGAGGCTGCATATCAGTTTCAGTGTGCCAACTTTATTACTGTTCTATTATGTTCTTCTTTTGGAGTTTTCATGAGCTCAAGAGCGTAGTTTTTTGTATTGTTCTAAACTTTATTCAGTTAACAATAAAAGGTGTTTGACGAGTTACATACTACGAGAAGTTGCATTATTCATAAGTCGATATATTGAACCTGCTCGGCAACGCCAGATAAAATACAGCTCAGGCATCAAGCCACAAGTACAGTCTGTACAATGGAAGGGCATAAGCTAACTAGTAAATATGGCAGTTCTCATCAGGGATTGCATGGTTTCATTTGTAATAATTCAAGCATGGAAGTAACAACTGAGAACATATTTCAGAGAATGTTTTGAGAAAATACATACCTTCCACTGGGCCATATTGACTTTATATTATTCAACTCCAATAGATGGGTTATAAACTCCTTTATAAGATCTTTCTTCACAGTGCTGCTTATTATTTTCAAGATTGTTCCTTCTACAGATCCTCAGTAGTAGTAGTAAACTACTGACGAGGCTTTTCTTGACCAGTCCGAATGTAATATCACTGTATTTCAACTTCTCTAGTGCTGTGTTAGGGCCAGTTTATCAGGGATGCTATGCTTCTCATGGGCTAGCTTATAGAGAGAGGGAAGCTGGAAAAAAACCCACAAAATTAATGTCATATGCAGGGCTCAATTCACACAGAGACCAGGAAGGCAATCAACTGTCTTGGTCATATTATATGTTCAATACACAGTTTCAGTAAGGCCTAATTACATAAGCCCTGTAGTACATGTACTGTGAAAGACTCAAGATTTTATTTTCATTTAATATTCATTGACAGCTAAAAACCAGTGAATACTGTACACCATTTTTTGTCAAGAGACAAACTTTGTGAGCCCAGTAAGATAACAAAAATTTTTAAAACAGTATTACCAATTTTGAAATTGAGTGTCCCCCCAGTGTTCTCCCCAGCATTCAATTTGTGTGCGGGGCCGCCACGCTGCTTTTCATGCCCTCCACTGTGGTCTCGAGCCGCCACGGTGATTAGTAAGACCGCCACAGTGCTTTTTTCATTGTTCATCCTGTGAACTGTATTACGAAATATAGAAAGAAATACGTAGCTATCAGGGATCTTGCCACGATTCCGACCAGGACTATCGTCCGACGTACCGACCGACACGCATCCTGCCAGTCGTGGATTATAGTTTGTAAACAATAGACATAGTCGCACGATGTGGTAGTGGCTTATAAACAATACAAGTAAATTTTGTAAAATTAGCACCTCTTTGTTCGTAAGTAAATA